CGACAGATGTTCGACCGGACAAAGGGCGTAATAATGTTCTTGAGCAGGGGGGAGGCCCCCGCTTCCTCAAACAAAGATCTGACTTCAGCTTGGATCTCTTCCCGTTTCGCGTCTGAGTAGCCTCCAAGGAATAATTGCCAGTCGTCCACTAGGGGCCCAGCCACTGAGGACCCAGCCGGGCTAGGTGCCTGGCCTGTGCCGGCTCGGAACCCAGAGGTCCCACCGCCACGACGGGGGGTCTGGACAGGACTGACAGACCTACTCTTGACCTCGCGGAGCTCAGATTCCATGTCTTTCATACGTTTAGCCATCTCGTCCCTGAAATGACCGAACTCGTCCTGCTTAGCCTCGACCCTTTCCAGCCGGGACCCCATCTCGCGAAACTCAACTCGCTGCTCATGGACATTAGCCAAAATCTCCCGTTGTCCTGCCTGAAGGGAAGCTTTAAGCCCGTGGAGCCAGGCCGGCTCATCTTCCTCGCCAATGTGGTGATGAGTTGGGCCAGGAGGGCCTCGAGGGACCTCAGCCCCAAAGACCGGAGCCGGTCGCAGTCCTGCGGAAACTCCTGTAGGCTGAGGGTTCGGTTTTGTTCGTTTCGGAGGGCTACCATGACGGGTAGAGGGAGGAGGCGGCATTTTATTGATCCTACGGGAGTCTACCTCTAAAGCAGCTTGCAAGGCAGCATTAGCATGGTCCCTATCCGTGAGGGCTTGCGCAGTGTGTAGGGGACTCTCCTCTCTCGCCGAAGCAGCAGCACGGGCAGCCTGACGAGCAAGAAAGGTTGGGTCGTTTCTCTCACTTCCCATAGGTTCACGAACGGGCATCCTCGGGTGTTCGACAGGCTCACGCCCCGGGAGGGGCAGTGTGAGTCCTGAATTGGCAGCCATGTTCTGAAGAAGCCCTTCGTTCCCATGCGCGCCTGCACCTCTAAGTTCACCAAAAGGCACAGTACTAGCTTGAGAGACATCGGTATCCCCTCTACCATCCCCGGCATTCCCATCATCAGGACGCATATCGACACCCCCCCCCTCGCCAAAACCACTCACTCCCCCAACCCCCTCAGGAGGCTCCCGAAGAGGAGCAGTATCCCTTTCATCAGGGTTGAGCCGAGTCATGCCAAGGGGGAGGGATAAACCTCCCGGCAAAGCTCCTCGAGGGACTTTTGGAGAGAGCACAGAGGAATAAACCTCCAGTCTAAGGGCGCACTGACAAGCTGGGCTCAGAGCCCTCGAACCCACGGCCTTGAGCCAAAATGGCTACGGTTTCTGTACTTACATATGATCGGGACACGGACAGCATGCAAGCGCTGGGGAGATACAAGTGCAAAAACAATGGCACAGCAATACCTGTCCCGCCTACTGACGTAACATGTTGCGAGCAGTCTAGATCCCCCGTGCTTGCATTTGAAAATGCACAGACGGCTACTTACCTCACAAACAGCACATAAGACGCTTCTCTTCTCTCTCTCTCTCTCTCTCTCTCTCTCTCTCTCTCTCTCTCTCTCTCTCTCTCTCTCTCTCTCTCTCTCTCTCTCTCTCTCTCTCTCTCTCTCGCTTCCTTCATTCCGTCGGGTCAATGTCCGAGCAGCTTGGACCCGCGCCAGGGCACCCCCCTCTTTTCAGTTTGTGAAAGAAAAGGATGCGTTTCATTCCCCTGGTAGGCGCGTACGAAAGTGAACGGCTGCCGCCGTTGCCTCTTACCTCCACCCCGCCCGCCTCCGGCTTCAAGGCCGGTCCCAAGTGCTGCGACAACCGTATATTTTTGTGAAAACTTCGGTCGGCGGCTTCCCCCACATCTTTTCATGCCTGTAGTTGCAAACAACAAATGTATGCACAGCGTGCTGGACGACAATCAATGCAGGACCGCATCAGGGCATATGAGTGCGTATGGGGTTGCTCACCTGGGTTCCCGTGCTCGACTCGAGACAGCAGAAAAAGGAGGGTAACTAGTTCGACTGTCCGTGCTCAACAGAAAGGAATTCCTGAGTTTGTTGAGAATTCCCCGGGGTCAGTTCGCAACTCAACTACGCTTACCTCTCACCAGTCGTCGCTGCTTGGGTGCCGTTTCTCGGAGCTTTGGGGTCTTCAGCGGTTGGGTTTGTTCCCACCGGACTTTGCAACTTGTGACCCACCCTGAACCCTGAACTTTAGCCCGCGTCCCGGCCTCATCCCCGCGCCCTCTATGGCAGTGTCCTTAGGCTCTCGCCAGGCAAAGTCCCACACGCAAACTGAAATAGTGCGAGCAGCTCCCCCTTTCAACGAACACACCAAGAAGCAACAGCTAGAGTGTAAGTACAGGGAGAAAGTTCAGTAGGCGAGCAGCTCGAAAAAGGTTGGGTTTACCAGCTGAGTAGTGCAGGGTAGGCATTAAAGAGCCAGTTCCCCCAAAGGTTCGAAATCCCAAACAAGGTCCCCGTTCAAGAGTTGAATTAGCGGCGAAACTCTGTCTCTGTGCCGTGGTTTGTGCAACAAACAGGTGCAGGGCGGGGGCGTGTGGCCCCCGGTCGGTAGCAGGTTTGATGGCTCCAGCGGCCCGTCAGAATTAAGCTTGGCTTCGCAAGCAAAACTTAAAAAACTGGAAAACTTCTACTGCTCGCTGTTGCTCCCCCTTTCAGTATTCCTCCATCTGGCCATGTACTCTTGTACCCGTCGTACTTCCTGCCAGCCACTGTTTGGTACCAGGCGGGGAGCCCACCCGGTTTTCCCAGCGGTGCTTGAGTCATTTTACAGTATCTGCCGCAATTTTGCTTATGAGGCCCCAGGGTTTTCTCGCGCACCGGACCCCTTGACCGCGGCCCCCTTCGGGGGTGGCCCGCCAGTAGGGGGGGCACGGCATACTTCCTGCTTGAGGAACTCAACATGATCTACCTGGAAGGAACGCTATGATGGAATGCCGCCTATGCAGAGAGGCTGGGAAAATATGTGTACCGGGCATTCGCAAAAACCACGTCAGAAGTGACCCAGCATGCAGACTGCACGGGGTGGCGAGCAGAGCAAATACAAGAGTGGTAGCTGCAGCCAAGCCTCGGTTAAGCCAATACAGCAGAAGGCGACCTCCTCCAACACGACGCCGCAGAGTGCAGAGGGGGATGCGAGTGCCAGTGCAAGCGGCCCCCCAGGACGGGGGAGCGGACAACGCCGACCTCAGCCAAGGCAAGCTTCGACCACATGGTGCAGCATGTGACAAGAGGGGGATGCACCTGCTGTTTCATCCCGGACAAGTGGATCGGCCGCACCCTACACTGCGACGACTAAACTATGAAGCTTCGGGATGAACGGGGGAACTGGGGGAACCCAGTGAACAGTGACGACGAGGAGGCCTACAACAACTACCGGGGGAGGCTCTCCACAAGGCACCAGCTCGCCGAGGCGGCAGACAAACTGGTCCGCATTGCGGATCAGTACTTACCGCGCATCACAGACGAGACGCGGGCCTTTATCATGCGCTACCCGCACCAGATCCCCAAGCTCCTTAAAGACGCCCGCAAGGTAAAGAAAAAGGCCAAGGCACGCCTGGAGCCACAAGCAGCAGCGACCGGCCCAGACAACGAACTGCGCAGAGGGGGATGGAACCGTCTATGGAAAGCCGGGGAGCGGAACCACCAGGGAGGATGGCACCGAAGCCATGCCAACCACCTCTGCTCCACCAGCCGGTGGGGAAGCGACCGAGCAGAGAACCACGAGAGGAGATAGCCCAGAGCAGCCGACGAGGTGGACTGGGGGAGTACCAGCTCCAGTGATACCAACCCAGTTGGGGGACGGGCACAGACTGAGACACCCAGCAACAGCCCGCCGAGACGGACCTTGCAGCCCACGAAGGCAACCGGTACTGGAGGTACAGTCCAGGTTAAACCCCCCGGCTCCCCCCCGATGCAAGGAGGCGGCACAAACCTCCAAGCAAAGCCAAAATGGCTACCTCTCTCTCTCTCTCTTGCTTGCTTGCTTGCTTGCTTGCTTGCTTGCTCAGGGGTATGGGCTCCCGGGGAACCCTGGCCCGAAGGCCTACCCCCCCACGGTCCGTGCGCTCCAAGGTCTGCACGGCCCCTTCCGGGGTTGAGAGAATCACTCGTTCCCCCGACTGAACTTGTTCACCCCGTCCCCAAAACACACCTGCTAAAACCATGACCGTAGGAAACCTGCAAGTTCAAGTCGGGTCATCCGAGGTCTCTCCAACAGTGCGGGTGAGCTCCACTCCCCCCTACTCAGGCACGGAGCTTGCGGTCTTACCCCCCGAAGCCTACGGCCAAAGCTCTACATGATTCGATATGCTATCCGTTCCGTTCTCGCGAGCTCCGTGTCCTGATTGCTGCGGGTCTTTTCCCCGAGTGAAAAGGGTTACTTGCTTAACCCAACCTTACCTGCCTCCCCACCTTAGCCCGAACAGAACCTTGCACAGCACTGCCTTCACCTTCCCACCCCCCCCTGAATCCTCCTCTACTTTGGTTTCTCGGCAGGTCGTCGCCAGATGCTGGCCAGGGCAAACAACACCAAACAGGCTCGCTACCTGCTCTCTCTCTCTCTCTCTCTCTCTCTCTCTCTCTCATTCGCTCACTCACTCACTCGCGAATTCTTTCTTTCGTTCACAGGGCCTAGTGGCGAGCCCACGTCTGGAGGCACTCTGTCACTCTCTCACTCCGTGACTCTCTTTCTCTGTCACTCTCACTCATGCAGAAATACATCATACGGACCCTGATGGGGGTAGTGGGAGGGTGCTGGGGGGGCCTTCATGCCCATAATAAGGACCTAATAAGGCCTGTTTGAAGAAGTATAGTCCCCTAGCCCCCTGGCCCCTGCCCCTTGCCCACCTAAGGGTCCCTATGAAGTGGACCTGATCCTCAATTTCGACGACGGTTGTACCAAGAGCCAACCCTCAAGCAGCAGTGACAGGATAGAAGGCAGGTCATGAGATGTAACGCTCTACCGACAAGCACGAAGAAGACCGGTCCAAATCAGATTGGCATATGCACGCCTCCAAAGAACTGCAATATACGTCCAAGCAGCGCTGCCGGCCTCCCCCACGAGGCCTTTGGAATGCGGGCTCAAGAGCAACTCATCCGCCGCCACTGTGCGGATCTCTGAGACCAGCAAAAACGGTTGAAAAACACCTTGGTGCAGATCCGATCCGATTCACAGAAAAAAGTAGCAGGAAAGGAAAGGAAAAACCCTGAACAGAACTGCGTGGTAACCACAATGCAGAATGCAACTAGCCGTGCCGCTCGAAATCTCTGCAAGGGCTAGCAGAGCTCGCGCCGAATATCTCCGGGCGACGAAATATTCCTTACTTGCTGGCCGGTGAGAACAATCACAACCGGCGATCATGCAAACTACACAGAAGCGCATTCAACCATTCCAGCGTCCGATTGCAACTCCTCTCCGGCACTAGGTGCATGGTCGGCCTTGAAATGTGGAAGCCGCTGATACCAAGGGCCAGGATGACCTTGCTCGGTACACACCGTCGCATCCAGCCCGGTCCTGAGTCCCAAGGCCCGTGCCTCTCACATCTACGAAACTAGTGTAATAACCTGACTGTCCTGGGCTTTGGCGAGGATCACAGGGTGCTGCTGCTCTTGGCACTCCGTACACTTGCTAAGCGGGGACGTGCCCTCCCGAAGACAGCTCTCCAGAGGCCCTGCATCGTCATCTGTCCCATCCATCCGGTCTTTTGCCCAAACTCTGAACCTCAAAGAGACGGTCACAAGAGATACGTGAAAATACCCTCCTCCGCACTGCAGCTGACGCCAGTCCAAGGCAGGAAATTTCGGCGGAGGCTATTGGTTTGTTTGTTTGTACCCTGCGGTGAGCAACAAAAAGCACGCCAATACACAAACCCCTTCAAAGAACTACAGAGCAACCCTTCCCAGGACAAGTCTTGCCAGCAAAGGAGTAACCAACAAGCAAAACCAATGGAAATTTTAAGCCGCTTAGTGAGATGACCTTGCTCGACACGAAGTCAGTGAGCCCAAGTGCAAGATACCTTGTTGACTCGGCGTGTTCTGATGTTTGACCACGTACTTGCAGGGTGGGGCACTTCATAGCAGGTCCCGGTGGAAGCCACGTGGTCCATATGCTGACAGAGTATGCGGCACCGAGAACTGCGTCCAAGTGCGCCTGCTGCGGATGCCTAAATGCCTCCTGGATGGCTGGATAACGAAGCAGGGCATTAGTTGTCTCACAGGTGAATTAATCCGTATTGTATTGGATGCGTGATCGTCATTCTGATCGACACGAGCAATGCAATTCCGGCATCTTCATGATGCTCAGCTTCGAAACTCAATACCAGGCATCTTTCATGATGTGTGGGGCGGATGCCTAAATGAGTACAGATAATTCTCCAGCGTTGCAAGCAAATTCACCAAGTACCCCGTGATGGCAGAAAAATGCAGATAGCAATGTACTACTGCGACATACCGATGGCCCACAGCCTGCGAAGAAATCGATCTTAACTGCAGCCCTTCGAAGCATCTCTGTCGGATGAAGAATGTCGGCTGCAAGCACAATGACACCTGCGTGACTATGCCTTGGACGGCCATGGTCGGTGCCTACAAACCTGCCGTGCACGAAGGAAGCACCACTGCGACCAGAGGACCGAGGCAACCCAGCCCAACCACGGCAAGCCGAAGCCTGTGTCTGCAAAGTCGACTGCAGTGGCGTGCAATGCCCACATGCCCGAGCGGCTCGCGAGAGTCGCTGATCTCCAAGAGCTGCCCTGATGCCAAGACGATGTGCAGACCAGAAACGGCCTCGAAAGGCACAGGCTCTGGGCATTACAAGGTGGGTCAGCAAGTACTGACTGCACCTCATTCAATCCCAAGCTCCGCTGCAAGGTTGCCGTTGTCTTGCCCTGAACCATGGCTTGCAGTTGCAACTGCCCCACAGACCTTGCGCCGGGCAATCCGATCTTGCAGCATCTCTCCATGCCAAGGTGCATCACCTTGCAAGCAAGAAGCAGAAATGTGTGGCAGAGACGCCATGTTGTGCAGGGCAAGGCCGCGCTCATGGAGCAGAGGGCAAAGGTCGCCATAAGTAACACCAGCTTGAAGCGTCACACCTGAAGCACACGCCACACCGAGGGCCAACAAATCGGGAAGCATGGATCCGGCCACAATGACCTGTTCGAGCAAGCCGCGGCGATTTGGTTCGTCAATGTGGATGGCTTTCATCTTGCTGCAGGAGATGAGGTTCGGCGAGTCTGCAATCGGGTTGAAGCTGTGCCGTGATCCCACAGCGCCTTGGCTCCATGGCTCAAGGCTTCGACCCGGGCAGTGCAGCGGGATGATTCACCGAGTCTCGGATTTTGTCTGCCTGCTTGACAATTGCTTGCACCTGCAGGCGCGCAAAGCCTCGCATGCCTAGCCCCAGTGCACCACCTGGTCCCTGGGTCCTCGCCCACGCTGAACGGCTGATGAAGCGTGTGCGCGCTGTACTGCAGGTTGCCACTCCAGTTCGCGAGTCGCAGGGCCATGGCTTGGCACTGCCCGGACGAGCATATGACAACCTAACTTTTGGAAGTGCTGTCGCGGAGTGCTCCTAGTCGGTTTGCTTGAAGATCCAACTGTGAGACCGGCCGGCTATTGCAACACTTTACACCGCCACAAACAATGACAACTAGGGCACTACCTGGACCCCAAACGCAAATCCATACCGCATTGGATCGGAGCTTGCCCGTTTCCAGAAGCAGAGCTGTCACATGCATAGATTCGAAGCTCAGTTGTAGGTTGTAGTATCTCGTGGTCCGACATTGTGCTCATCAGCTAAGAAGCCTGCGTGGAGAAGGGATTTTCCCTGGAGGTGCTTCGGATGACATGATGTGGTGATGATTGTGATGATGATGATCACGACTCACAGGTTGTTGTGAGGTTTTTCGAGTGCCTGATCTCTTAATTTAGACTCTTGTCGGCGGACCGCATCCTCCGAGAAGCCGTTTCATCCGATTCATTGCAAACTCCAAAACACCTATGCTCGAATCGCACCAGCACATGGGGGAAGCATGCTGCGCTGGTCGCGTCCTGCAGTGACGATTCGCTCGTGATCATTTGGCCGTGCCCCTTTCTCGTGGAGGTGGTGAAGGAATCAAAGGATGCAAGGATGGAAGGATGGATGGATGGATCAGATGATGTTCGGTGATAAATCGCTTTGTGCACACACGTTCTGTAGTTATTTCGAGCAGTGGCGGATGTAGGGAAAGCTTCAATGGTGGTTTCCAAAGCTGTGCTCACCCCAAACACAGCGGAAGCACATGAAAGCGCATTGACGCTCGAAGATGACTGCTCTGGTGGGCAAACGAAGTCCCCACCAACGTGCTTTGGCAATCATGGGTGTAAGCATGTATAGGCTTGAAACACTAAAATGCGCAAGTTCTTCAAGTTCGAAAGACAAGTCTCGGAACCCGGCGAAATGGGCCTGAACAAGTGCTTCCCGTTTGTGGGCCTCACAGCGTGCGAACAGATTAGAAGAAGACTCCGCGAGAGCCAGACTGGCTGGGCATGCACCATTACACCGTAAGTTCACGGCAGGCACGGCCATGACCAAGAGCTCTTATCGCCCAAGCTTCGTAAGTAATTACTGTGTTCAGGGGCCTTCAAGTTTTCAAGGTTTCTGCTCCTCCGGTGCTATAGCGACAGGACTTACACTTGATAGGCATCTTGCTGGGGGGCATCGTGGCACAGGTCCTGAGCCAACGATGTGCACGCACAATCAGCCGCCGAAAACAGGAGCTCAAGTACCATGTCATGGCAGAGCACACGACGGGATACGGTTCCGCTGCTTGCCGCAGGCTGACCGCTACCAGATCAGCTCGCAAGCCCTTCCTGGAGTTGGCCCTTGCAGCCTTTTGCCAGCGCTTGGTCCGGAGGCATAGAACGGGCCGAGAAAACTGTGCAGGCTCATGGACTTTGGCTTGCTGCCCGAATTAAGCACCAAGCTAACTGTAGCCTCACATTTCGCCCTCACAAACTGCCTAAATCAACAGTCCTTCCTCCAGCTCTGGTTTCGTTCACGCTCCAAGACACATGGACTGCCGCAGTGTTCAAGCTACCGCCGAACGGAAGGCAGGAATCATTGCATCATTGCGGTGTGCAGCTCGGCGTGTCCTGCATTGCGCCGAACAGATGCAAGACAGACCCAGAGCACTTATGCCAGTCATGCAAGTAATGTTGTGTAAGAGTATTCTTGGGCTGCTTTTGGTGGAAGCAGCAGCGGATCCCTGTCGGAGGGTCGCATGGTGCGGCTTCGGACTACCAGGAGGAGCCAAGGGAGGGATTTAATGAGATGTAGTGTGGTGTATATTCCTCAATCAACGGATGACCGAGGCTTTTGGGGGCTTATCCTACACTTACAGCCCGGAGCAGCAAGTGCGCTGCATGTTTGTCGCACTGGTTTTGCACCCGTATCTTGGAATGATCAAATATCTATTGTATTGTGCACCTCGCAACCCATACGAGCCGAGAAAAGAGGAGATTCGCATGGAGAAGTCCACTCGCCGCTCCTGGGGCTTCCCACGAAGCAGGTCGCAACAGGCCTTCACGCTCTGCTCCAACCTTCGGACCTTGGCTTAGCTGCACGTTCTCCAGCCGCAAGCACTAGCACTGCTAGCACTGCCAATGCAGACACGGGCTCATCTCCTGCAATCTTGGCAATGTCTTCAGATTGTCTGCGCTCCGCATCTTGCAGCTCAGACTTCAGCTGTGTAATCCTTTGCTGGCTGTCTCCAACATAAAACGGCCCGAGAAGAACCCCACCTTCCCTGCGGAAGCCGATACATGCAAAAACTCCCATTTGCTTTCAACATTCGCTTGCAATGCTGGCCCGCTTGTCACGCTCCACATCCAGCTTCGTAACCCGGACCCTATGCTAAGCACATCACCCGATCCCATGCAGGCGCAGATTATCCAAGGCTCTCTGCATCTTGATTCATGTAGAAGTTTTCTGAGTAATCTGAACGATAGCCTCGGTCAAAACTTGGCAGAGACCCATTCACGACGACAACGCAGGACCACGGAGACAGGCCACTCACCCACAGATACCTGTGCCGCGAGTCGAGATCATCGACATTGATCCTTGGAGCTGCAGGGCGCTTCTGCATTCATGGAGGCTAATGATAGCGGCTGTGGCTTCAGTTTCACTGACTAAACTAAACTGTCCATGCGAACCTTGCAAAGCTTGCAAGGCACTGGCTTCGGACACCACAAATGGTGCTACCGGGAGTCAGCAGCGCAGCCTGGAAAATGAGGAGCACGGCACACAGGCAGAGACCGCCCGAATATACATTCCACGACTCGAAGATGGCCTCGGCACACTGGCTTGAACGATGGCACGCTGCAGCACTCCCGGCGACAGCCTTCCTAAGCAATCCTTGAGAGCGCGGCAGATGCCAAAAAGATCACCACGAACGGCAGTGCGCAGAGACCTGGGAAACTAACACCCAAACAGAGCGTCAAAGTCAGAGCTCTTGGGTCACGTCTCCCCCTGAACATTCACACAAGCGCCTATCTCCGCCTCGCAATCCAAGTTGAGGAGTCCAGTCTAGCACTCACATGAGGCGTTGTGGAGCTCAGGTTCGCGCAAGTCTTCCACTTCGATCCCTCGAGAGACATTCCAGCCAACCATGTTCGTGGCACCGATGGTCTCAATGCAAAGCGCACACAAAGCCTGCCATGTTGCTGATGGCTGCATCTCCAGAAGCATCTTGCACTCAACAACTTCATCACGAAGTTAAGATTTCGGCCGAGCCCTAATAATCTGCCCCCATCTTGCTACATGCTGATCAGCAGCTGCTGCTCTCCAATTTCTGCTGGAACTTACTGTCCTTATCCTGTTTGCTGCCCGCGCCCTGGTTGAATCGCCCACGTCTTCGGCAGGTCAAGGCAGGATCAGAGCACCGTCAATACGGCCTGAGCCCACTCACCCACTCCCTCGGGCCTGGCACGACACTGCTGAAGACCTAAGCGCGCCAAAGGCTCCTCTGTGGGAGTCCAGCGACTGCAAGATTTGAAAAGACGAACAGGCGAAAAGGCGGTCCTGCAACTCGTAAAACTTGGTGTACATACCAATGGTCAAGTTCCTCGCATGCAGTTCAAATTTACTGTCCCTCTCAGGCCTCCGTCGGGCTGGGAACGTGTCTGCGTGACACGACGTCATTCACACTGACCCTTGCTTACGTAGCCTTGCAACCACGGCTCAACAGCACCAAGGAAAAAATGGAGGTAGCGAAGAGCATTATCACAGTCGTCACAATCAGCAACAGGTGGCTTCCGTCACCGGTGTACATCTCGATTCCGAAATCCAGAGTCTGTTGGTGACCGATATCGATGCCGGATATGCTTTCTGCCCCGTCGCTGTCTGTGAGGAATAAAGCTTGGAAGAGATTCAGCAAAACCTCGAGACGACTTGGAATGACAGAAGATTCACTGTGCGAGCTGGTCCCAGAGTTACAGCCGAAAAGCATACCCCGAACTCCGGTCTTCGTCCTTCAACGTCAGGAATGTAAGGGCGAACGTCACAAACATCATACCTGGGCTGTGCATTCCATTCTGGCCGTCTATAGTCCGTTCATACGAAAGGTCACAACACCCTCCCAAATGAAAGGTGCCTGATGTCTCTACACAGAACCAGAGATAGCTACCAGGAATGCGAACATGAGGGGGGGAGGACAGCGGCGCTCTGCAGCGTGGAGCCCAAAGCTGCCCCCCCCCCCCCCCTTGCGCTCCTTTCTTCGCCCTTTGTCTTTCTTTCTGCGGGTCTGTCTGCAACAACATGCCACATGCCCTCCCTTCCCAAACTGCGAAGCTGAGGCTCCCATGAAGGTGAACATCGGCGTGATCGGCGCGAAAGACTGTATAACGGCGATGATCAATGGCCCAACCAGCAGGTTCGCTCTCAGCTCTGAGATGATCGCGAGGCATCTGTCACCACATACAGAGCTTTTTCGTAGTTGAACAGAACACGCAATGACTTCAACATGTTCGACAGACGGACGGAGTGCACAGAAGGCTCTGCTCTACAACTATCTGCGACCGTCGTCTGGCGGCGGCCAGCAGAAGCGGCCTTGCCTAAGCGAAGTGACAACAGCCACCGTTGGTGAGGAGACTTCCTGTTGTTGGAGGATCCAGATCACGGATTGTCAAAAACCTTCAGAGCCTGTCCGCAATTGTTGTATTGTAGGGTGCCTTTGATCGAGTAGGGGACGTATCGGATCCTCTCCTTGACTGTTCTGCATTCAAGCCCGCAGTGCAGTGGGCTGCGCCCTCCTGTCCCTGCTGAATTACAGCATCCAGCAGACAACTACTAACTAAATCTAACTACTCTCCGCCGCCACAGTGCTGAATGCCCTGGCCTCAAAAGCAAATTCACCGCCAGAAGAACTTTTGCCCTTGGAGTGTCCACGACGTCGCCGAGAAGAAACAATCCAAGAAGTGCGAACCTGAGAAGTAAGACATGGTAAAAACGGGCACAGTACCAGCAACACTGCATCGCCATCTTGTTTCCGCTGCCAAAAGTGAAGCTGTTGTGAGTCTCACGAAACGGCTACCGAACGGACCTGGAGGTTCAGTCACCAAGTTCTGGCTGTCTGTAGTTCTCACCGGAAGAGGGGCGCTTGTTGCGGGTCTCCGGCATCTTCAATATCTCTTCGAACTGGAGGTGTCGCCAACGGTATCTTCTCCGGAAGGTGACATTCGACCACTGCACGAAGACCAAACTGCTGGCCGACACGGCGCTTGGAATCCAGTTGCCAGAGCGCTCAGCAAGCACTCCAGTCATCAACAGAACGAAAATGAACAGGCCCTGAAGGACATGTCGCAGACTTGTTTCCCAGAACACTCCTCCCAGATCCAGCTTCACGGACTCCGCCTCCCTCAGCAGAAAACCATGTGTTGCACGACATACAGCGAACATCATAAAGCCAAGAATTGAAATCAAAGGAGACAGCGTGGAAAACGTGAGCACCGTGACAAGCTGGAGGGATGCACGTGCAGACCTTGAGCCGATCCCGAAGTACGTCTGGTCTTCGGGCTCGCTCCTCGCTTTCGCATCTTTGCTCTGCAAAATCCGGAAGGCCATGTACTTCAGAAGCTGGGGTAGCCTCAGCGCTGCTGTCGCATAAGCAGCCATCTGCATCGGAATAAAGTTAAGGTAGAAGTGTGTGCTTCGAGGCATATTCCTGGCCAACAAGCCGGGCGCATCGAAAGGATGTTGGAGAAGATACTGACCGGTTGCCATAATGGAGGAGCCAATTGCCGTGACAAGCAACACGAAGACACACAAGAAGTAGAAGTACCACACCTGTGCGCACAAGACGGTTCCAGGCAAGCTTAGGCGACGCTCAAGTGACAGGCTGCCAATTCCGACTCATTTCTGTGCCGACCCCCTTCGACGACAACTTTGGGGGGAGGACTCGGCCGTGTCCAGGTGCCTGGATGCAAAATCCTGCAGAACTGTTACTCATTCTTGTTAGGCTGCTACAGCAAGCAGGTTTGTTGGGGTGTCCGGCTTTCGGCTTGTAGCCTGCCGCTGCATTCGAAAACGGACGTGTACATTGGCAAACTGCACTGAAAGATACTGAAAGTGATGGTGCCAAGCTGCACATGCAACCGACTGGACTCTGGTCTTGTGAAACTACTGGACTCTGCCTTTGCGTCACTAACCCCCCAGCCACTGTCTACACCGCAATCCACTCAAGCTCGAATAACTAGTATCTAATATGTACTTAGTAGACTTCCTGTCAAGCTTGCTTGCCAATAGTTTGTCGTTCTACCCACCTGCAGCCGATGCTGTCGTTCCGCCTCTGTCTTGGAGATGAAGAAGAAAACGAAGATCAGCATCAGACAGGATGGGAGGAAGCTCATGGCCACCGAGAGCGCGAAAGATGCCATGATGCCGTTCCACAGCGTCGCCAACGCCGGGAACTGCTCCACCATTACTTTGAAAACATGTACGTGCTCCTCCACGGCATTCAGGTTAGCAACAGACTGGATCAATACGACCAGCGGCATGAAGCCCCAAAAAACGAGGAAAATGAGAAAGTAGCCAACCAGTTCCTTGACGGCCTGATGCCCTGGCTCAGTTGCTAAATCTCCCCACAAGACCTGACTGGGGTCTGGAGCCGGCTCTGCCCGGATGCCATCGTAATCGTCTTCAGTCAGTAACTTCTGAGCAACCACAGCTTCACGTTGATGGTTGAATGTTATGAAAGCATTGGAAGAGTTCTTGTCGTTCAAGCGCAAGAGTTGCTTCCTGTACCTGCTGACCATGCTTGCAGCTGCAGCTTGGAGCTCCTGGCCCTCAAGTACTCGGCCGGTACCCGTGCGCCAGCGCTGGGATCCCTGGCCCCCCAGGCCCTGGCCGCCTGCGCCGCCTGCTGCTACTTCCTGCCAATAGAGAAGCTCCCTGGTGTCTTTCACGAAGTCTATGCACTTCACGGCCTGGCAACCAAAGACACCATCGTCAAAGAACTTGCGAAGTGCCGCTTCCGACAGCAAATGCTCGGGAATACCTTGTACAAGGATTGTAGTTGCACTGGGAACTGGTGATTTGTGCAACCATCTCATGCGCAACGGCATGAAGTTCCGCTGTGCTACGTGCACTTGTGCATGTGTAACAACGACCACATACCACACAAAGATGGCATGAAGCCAACACAGCCACGAACCATGCTGCACATTGGCCATGCCCACTTGGCTCAATCGGTCAGGACCGGCAACATCTCCACCAACAATGGCGTGAAGAGGACATAAAATCAGAATGCACGGTAGACCGATACTCAAGCATAAACGCATTGCAACAGCCAAGAACTCACAATGCATTGCCACATCCAGCCCAGCAACACTTGCTGCTTCCTCGGGCGATGTGCTGAAGCTTTTGAAAAGCCATGCCAAGCAGCCCGGCGGCCCAGGCAAATCCCTGTCAGGCTTCAACTTCGCGGCCTCTACATGCAAATGCTGCAACTCGAGGTCGCGCTGGTATACAGCAGGCTGGAGGCATCGCAAGAGACTTAAACCAAGAATGGCCATGATCACGATTCCGCAATTTGTTGCCAAAGCAACCAGAAATGTGTCCAAGTCTCCTGCTTGGTTTGCGTGCACACCCTCCACGGCTGCAGCGCTTTGATTAGCACTAGCAGTTGTCGTAGTTGCGTTAAGCTGCACGGTCTGGTCCAGCAGTGCTTCGGCCCAGTGCAACTGGCTGGTCCGACCTCCTCGGCCCACGGGCGGAGCGATGAGTCTCTGCAGCAGCGCGCCAGGGCTTGTTGCTGCGCTGGGGGGGAACCAGCATTCTTCGCCGTGCGCTGTGTCCATTTGGTGAAAAGATGCCCTGTCCCGCAGCTTGGCTGCGGGTTGGACTGTGCCTGGTTGCTCTTCCAACAAATATCAGTGTACTGTTGCACCCGATATGGAAGTCCCAGGCGTATCTCGGAGTAAGGTGTGGCCTACGTGCTATGACCCAGGCTGCGACATGAAAATCGGCAGAAGCGAACTGACATGGCCGTGAAACCGTTACATCCCAGCTGCAAACAAGAGCGTCGCTAAGTCATGGAACGCCTCACCGGCAGAATGGCTGATTAAAGCCCAAGCTGCCAGTTGACAAATGTGAAGGAATCGAAATGCCACCTCACAACAACGCACTCATCGAGAGCATAAGCCATAAGAAGAACAGGTTGCTACCAAGCTGCACATATTTCATTCGAGGAATGAGTGCCATTCGCTCACACATAGCCACTGCATGCACAAAGTTGACACCTTCGAAGGACAAGGTGGCCATGACGACGCTACCTTAGCTGGCATGACACAGCTGCGTATTTGCAGTGCCGGCTGTGGCATAGAATTGGAGCCAACCGGCCAGCCAAAGGAGCCTTAGGAACAGCAGAGCAGATGGTTTCAGCGAGGCATCGCAGCCCATCGCACAACTCGGGGATGCTGAGGCAGCCAATCGGCACAGGATCCCCAGCGCAGAAACGGAAAAGAAAAATCGACATGCACTGCCAGGTTCATGGAGAGCACGATGAGGGCACACAGCCTTCAGCTTTCCAGATCAAAACACAGCTCCCGCAAGGTCTTCTCAGGCGGGTGGCAGAACCAGAAGCCAAAGGAGGCCAAAGCTCCAGACCATACTGTACTGTTTCCACTTGCCTGCGATGCGCAAGTTGGCTACTTCACAGACGAGGTCAGATAAGGTTGGGCCGGGCCTGATACAATAGCTCTGATAGGGATCTTCGAGAATATGGTCATGTGGTCCCAGTTGTGCCAAACCTGAGTGGAGAGGATGCTCATCACCTTCAGGTTCAGGACACCGGGCAGATGCAAGACGTTCACCTGCAAGGGCAGCAAAGCCACTTCAATCCTCTTCACAGAGGCAGGGAGAGCCTTTGACATCTCTGCATTCTGGGTAGGGAGCCCCTCTGCTCATCTGTCGCACCTTGACTTCATAGACGTCTGTGTGGAAGCGCGGGTCATCATTGGGCAGCTCTAGGATGAACTCCTTGTGCCACTCCGCACCTTTTCCCTGACCCTTCTCCCAGATCGGCTCGTCCGTTGAGCCACCTTCGACAGGCTGGTAGGTGCAGATCCTTAGACATACGACGGGCATCGATGTGCCATGGCCATCTGCCATCTCTCGCTGCAATCCAAAGGACATCTCCCTGTTCGGCAGCGAAGTAAAAAGCGGGAGGCCATACCTGACGACAAAGAAACCATCCGAATCGTCAACCACTGCAGACATGTATTCTCGCGTTCTTTCCAGGATACTCTACTGTACTGTCTCTTGCCGGTGGGTTTTTGTGATTGTCGGGAGTCAGTGCCGGCTCCCTTCCAGTTTCTTTGTTCGGGGCCGGTGCAAACAGCGGTTCTGAGGCCGGCCCAAACGGAGATTGATTTTATCATCACGCGTAGTCGAAGCGGGTAGGCTTTTTGCTGGATGGAGCGGCTCGCCCAACCCCACCACAACCCCCAACATAGCTATCCCTGTCCCGTCCTATGCCTGTCCCGTCCGTTCCGGGTTCTGAGGGCGAGCTATTATGAAGCGAGCGAAAGGTCAGAATGGCGACATGGAGAACTCTGATGCCGTGCAGCCACTGTGGTGCAGCGGTGCACTGAGCTTTTCAGCTCTTTGCTTCTACTGCTTTGCTCCCCTCTGTTCCACCTGCGAGGATCTTCAACTCTCGGCTCGCCCATCAGCAGCTCGAGCAGCTTGGCACCGGCAATAGGTGATCTCCTGGTAAGCACAAACATGCATGTGCACCGTGCACCTGCCGATATCGTTGCGGTCCAAGCCACTTCAGCGTTTCAATGAATATGTCCAAATGCCCTGCCAAGGACATTCGGGCGAAACAAGGGTGAAATCCCGAAACATTGCTCGTGTCATCCAAATTGACAACTCCGAAAGTACACCCGAGTATGGCTGCACGGCTGTAAGAATCGCATCGTGCGAGTGTTTCACAATTTGATATCATCCGTATTTTGCTGGTCTTAAGCCTTCTTAAGCAAGACGCACCCGACAGACAAGCGGCAACATGATTTAACACATGTCCAGAAAAGAGGCTGTCCCGAACAAGCGCTGGAGCTGGCGCTGGCGCCAGTGCTGGTATACTGGCGGTGCTGGTCGGGGTGCCAGTCGCGGTCGCACACGTAGCAGGACAAGCGCACATGCTTGTACCGTACGCGTCTTCACATGAAGAACTCTGCTGAGGGTTGGTCTCCTTCGGCTCCGCCAAAAAGCAAATGATAGCAAAAGTTTGGAAGACGCTGAAGAAAAGGCAATGAGCTCAACCTAGACACAGCATATACTGTAAGAAACAAGCGCAAGAACAGCCTATCCGTGGGAGGCTGTAGAAGATTGTAGAAGGCTCTGATTAATCTGACCACTCCCCGTCACTCCCCACGCCCTCTTGTTTCCCTCTGCATCGATAATGTTGATGGCGCGCGCGGCCTTGCATACCGATTTAGCACTTGAGACGGCCACGGATGCGGTGCTCACTCAGAAGTACGCCTGTAAACGACAACTCCCGCAAGCTGCTAAAAAGCTAGCTTTCGTGAAGTCAGGCAACTGTGCCAGAAAAAAACCGTGGTGCTTCGGGTAGTATCGCGCGAGACCAACTTCATCTAAAGTTCTGTCCATGTTTCGACTCATCCTTTTGTCGAGCGACAATTTCCCAGTCTTTGACAGGTTGTGATAAATTGTGAAATAAGCAATGCGACTCTACCGAGAAAGTACTCGCTTGGGATGTAGCTTCTACATCCACAAGTGATGTGCAAACTTACCTGAAGGGCGGGTGTCGTCCCGTCTGTGTTCAACACGCAAATGTCGGCTGCACGCGAGCGCTTGTTGAGCCTTAAAGATGCGGTTCTTCCCAGTCGGCCGGTTTTCCGGAGAATGTGTCCTCTGCCGAGGAAGCCGAAGCTTTCTGTGCAGTTATCCTCTCCTCCAGTGGCCAACTCCTGCAATCGCATCCAACTTTTTTGCCACCCGCCCAGCTGAAACAAGTCGCACCGCAGGGAACTCATCCGAACTCGCAAGGACTAGAGAGATGAGATCCCAGGGAGCATGCGAAGAGTCTCAATGTGATCCTGAAACTTCCGAGGCCACACCACTATCAGCATACAAGGTACACGCTTGAGCCACGGTGGGCATGGCATCCGTGCAGAAGTTGGGGCGAAGGTTTGTTGCTAATTGTTGCAAACGAATAAGAAACAAACGAACCAACTTTCGACGAACAGCCCAACACTCTCCCGAGGCGAGCTCGAAGAAAAGACATAAAATCTCCTGCGTCTGCATGTTCCTGAATTCCTAGCAGCGTAACAGGTGTAAAAGCTCAGTGCAGGAATCGAGCCAGATAACACCTGCGAATTTTGAGCACCCAGTGCACAAAAGCAGCGGAGGCAAACGCAAATGTGAGAAGAAGTAAAGCGGGCCAGGCTGGCGGCTTGATTCCGGCGAGTCTGTCAGGTAAGTCAGGACTTCTTCACGAAGGTTTTTTTCGAGCTGTCCCGGGGCACGCTTCTTGATCCGGCCTGAGCACATGCAGTTCCGTGGACAGCTGTGGCACTGTGGTCAGCAATGGCGCCTACCAGCTGAACAGCTGCAGCTGGATTCGCCTGGCGAAGTATCTTGCACTACGCAGTCTCCAGTGTGTGATCTCTGTACAATTTACAAGCACCAAAATGCAAAATTCCGGTGCCTTGGCAATCAGGTTGACTTCAATAAACAATCGGCTCCGCTTTGGATAATGGTACGATTGCCTCAGAAGTCACGGCCACAAAAGTGGTAATGGTCTTTGGCCTGCATGCATCAGATTCGTCTGTTGAGGCACGTCAGCAGGTGCAGCATTTGCTTCGGAAACCTGGGCAAAGCACAATGTAAACACAACGAAGACAGCTCATGTCAGAGCTCGTCATCTAGTCAAGACAGCCTGACGACACAGTTCAAGCTCAGCAGCGAGGCCCGCTTGTGGACTGCAATTTCCAAGGCAGTCTTGTTCCGGAGCAGGGCGGCTTCTTCATCCTGCAGTAAGACATGTCGTCGCTTAGTTGCGATCCGACGCACACTTGCCCAGATTTTCGCAGGAATGTCAATCCCTTTTCATATCGCCCTTCCTGGCTTCCTTGAAACACTTGAGGGTTTGCAAGTTCTGGGCAAAGGCCCCGTTCCAAGCATTCGTGATTGACAGGCCTTGCTGCATCCTGCAATCCTAAACTCCTAAACCGGACCGATCAAGAAAGTTAATGCCGTCGTAAGAACCGAAATCTGCATCGGTTCCAACCCAGTGTATGAAAACACGTCTTTGTGCCGTAAATGGTGAGAATTCGACGATCGGTGTAGAGCCATTGAAAATCTGCCAAACGGTTGTATAGACTCCTCCAGCATACGTCTAAAGAATAATGAGTAGTTGCATGCCGATTGGAAACGAGTTCTGATGCTAGATGATGTGAATCAGTGCGATGCATTTTCGGAACTCTTTTCAATAGACCACGCGATGCCTTCAATTGCAGCCACTAAATACTACCTGATCCTGAATGGTTTGGCTTGGACGTTGTTTGTGCCCCTTGCATCGCTGAATTAATTGGGCTTGATGGTTCTGAGGCTTGACCAGACTTCAGCAAGTGGGAGGGTTGACGGACAAAAGTTGAGCTTTCGAAAGACTCAGATGGGAGCCTCTGGCTGCCATCTGTCTATATGTGCTGTGATCAGCATTACCACCCCTCCTCCAAGCGGCTGTCTATTTCAGTGCTCGATATCAAGACTCACCAGACAATCGCGGTCTAATTGCATGTTTGATTGGTTGGTGTGACAGCTGCAAGCCATGCATGCCTTCCGTCGGTGCACAAAGGGAGTGGTAAACCTGGTGAGCTAGGAACACCAGCAGCCTTGGACATGTGGCTCATGCTGCTCCTGCGATGGCCACTTCAACGACCCTTTCATGCATTATCCTTCCCCACACTTGCGAGCAGATCGCTGAAGCAACGGATGTGTGGCGCGTGACGGGCTTCAAAGAGCCAACCAGAGATGTCGTGCTCAATCAGACTGGAGGTGTGGGAACCTGTGGGAAAGCAAAAACTGCTTAAAAACTGTGTCCAATGTAGCGGGAAATGGTTGAGGGGAGTATGGTTCTGTGCAATCTAGCTTTTTGCAACTTTCCGTTTTGAGATGCAGCAAGGTATGGGTGGGAAGAGCAAAGGCGAGAGTGAATCTGTGCCATTTCCACTTGTGCAACACCACAGTGGTTTGGTCCTCGCGATCTTTCAAAGCACCGCTCTTTGCAGCCACGTCAGCCTTTCGGCTCACCAGTGCTTCAGCTATCCTCCTGAGGCTTCATACGGCCATGCAAGGTGGAGGCCAACTCTCTATGAACCGAACTGAAGCAAGTAGCTCAAAGGCCGAACTTCTGTTTGCTTCCGGCACATCCGGCAAGCCGATCTTCGCCTTTCAAGCACTACGCCATGCTGACATGTAGTGTTTAGAACGCAGCACACCACAAGATGGCAACACGGTTTCATGCCCTTACGTGTTTGCTGAGGCTAGAACCAAGATGTGCAGGGCTGCACATTCGTCGGCGTTGCGGATTGTGGAACTGGCCGGTGCTTCTTCCAGAATCCACATGCAGGTCTCCACTTGGCCTGAAGCATGCCGAGATGGTCTAAAAGACTGCACCCATCTCGACGCGCTGCGTGCAAACCGGGTGCTCATCCACAAGGCACATAAGAGAGGCGTATAATGATCAACACATGCCTCAGAAGCAATGAATTCCAACGCAATGAGGTCATCGCACGCTCTGAGCCCAGCTGCCGTGATAGTTCGTCCGTTTGGGCCCTTTGTGTGCTTTGTGGTCTCCAGGATGGACCGGCGGATGAGCACATCCGGCGAGCAGCGCTCCCTCGGAACAGAATCACGCAGATCAGCCACGTGTCCGTCGCAGCAACATCCCTTTATGCATGCAAGTGCGTGTGTACACACATACGTATGTACATATGTATGTATGTAAGTACACCATTCTCTCCCCATCTCTTCCTCAGAGATCCCTTGAAGGTTAGCAAACCCCATGGCATTCACCACAACTGCAAATCCAATACAGGTGAACCCCAAGTTACGGCGGA